CTACTAGGGGCTTCTGGCCGTACTACTAGGAGCAAGAAGCTACTAGGCGCTCCTGGCCTTACTACTAGGACCGAGCTCCCAGGGTTTGATGATTGTTCACGCTGGCCGTCGGTTCGTGTTCTCGTTTCGGCCGTGTTTGAAGCACCAAAGAAGCGCCCCGTCCAATGTGAGACCATGTCCAACTCGTCCAGCACAATGTGTTGCTGTAAACAGTTGTCTGGGAAGTAGTCCTGCAGAAAACTGCGGAACACGGAATTGACTCGAGGAGTCTGAAAGGCTGCTGCCAACAATGATCAAGGGATAACAAGTGATAGCAAGGGCAAGTAAGTGTCCAGGTCTTCCTCGGATGTGTGCGGAACTAATGAAGTCGAATCAACCTGGTCGATGCAGTAAGAAATAGTAAGAACTATAGGGAAGTGTCAATCCCGAGGTCAATGGCACCTCTGCCAACATCACAGCCTCGGAAGCTATCCCTAGGGATGCCCTATCATACTATCAACCCGACAAGAAGCATACAATCAATGCATAATATTCACTCATATTCAGTTATAAAATATAAAAACAAAAGAAGCTATACATTTACTTCATTCATGGTTTGGACTCCAGACCCCCTTTCTTTAAGAAACCAACTCCTTACTCGCCAGCTCACCTCCTTAGGGATGAACTTCACAACGCCAGCTCTGCGGGTTCAGTCTTTCACAGCTCACCCCTTTCGCTACCCTTCTTTGTCAGCCTGGTCGATGATCTTCACCCGGCATCCACCACCCCGAATCTTGCAGTCTTGTGGATCACTCAATCTCATGGCAAACTCCTGGCGCAATTCAGCGATTTGTCAGCATCGCCCTAGAATAGCATGTCCCTGGACCCCCTGAAGATGTATGGCAGTTAGAGGCTTTATTAATCTCCACCAAAAGCAGATGCTGAACAGGGTGAACTACAGTGTAGCTTCTGAGTGCGTTGGCTGCGCGAGCATCTGTGTATCTGTGCCTCCGGCAAAATCCACATTCGATGGTGAACTTTTTGCACGATGCAGCATGATGGAGCACACATTCACACACACACACACACAATCACACACTTGTGCTGACAGCATGTCCTCGCAAGTGTGCCATGCAGCATCCCGTAGAATGGGTACCCTGACGTAGGCCATGCTCTGACCAGATGCAAACCTGTCAAAGGAGTGCACACAAGTACACACTGACCGTCAGTGACCGCTTGGAAGAACATCCAAGATTGGAGTTTGGAGCCTGGATAGCCTGGAACCAAGTTCAACCAGGCAGCTAAATCTGACATGATTCGTTTTGACAAGGTCAAGGTGCTCAAAGCACCTCTGTGTGACTTGCATTCTACAATGCTTGCAACATGTCTGATTAGCATGGTGTTGTGGCACAGGGTGAACCAATGGACACTTGAGTTGCTTCCAAGTGGCTCTACAGTCTCATCAACGCTGGCATAACGGAGGCCGGCCTGCGGCAACGAAGCCATTTACGGCCAGGGGAATTTCCGGCCTTTTCCAAGATGTCGGTTGCTTGGCAACCTGGGCCCTCAAAGTCAAATCCCCAAACTGGGTAAAGGACGGTAAAGGTGCAAGGAGATCCAACAGGTAGTTCCCCCTCATCCACTCTGAGATCTTCCTGAGGATCGTTGGCCAAACCGGCCAACCAGGCCATGTTGTCATGAGATGAGATGTTGCTCTCAGTGAACATCCTTTGTTCTCAAGTGTAGTCTTAGTGTTAAAACAAAACAATTGTGTAGCATCGCATAGCAAGGAGTTTCCACTCTTGTTCCGTTTCGGGGTTGTTTGGGGCACATGACTGCCCGTGGCTTGCCTGGCCGGAAAGGTCCTCCGTGTAGCAACGTACTCGGCAGGCATTGCTGGGCTCACCCGAGCGAATTAGCACCACTTCTGCCTGCATTTCATCGGGAGTCTTCCCATGTGTTGGGCAGTCATGCTTTGCTAGCAGACTTGATACAAACAAGGGGGTCCTGCCCACATCTGGTCTTATTGACATCTGTCGGGCAAGCGCTGCAGCTTTGGGTATCTTGGGATCCCATCTGACCAACCGACTGCATGCAGAAATCCTGAGATGTCAATTGCGCTTGATCTGGTTGCTTTGTTTTGCTTTTGGATCATGGACCACCACCCCGCCGAGGTCCTCACTGTCCCCTCTTCACTTGGAATATGTGATCTTGAACCTTCCCACCTGACCTTGTCTTGCTCTTCGGTCGCGTAGAAAAGACTCGATGCCTTGGCAACTCGCTTGAAGATCTGTCGAATGGCTCAGTTCATTGGAATCTCTACTTTCGGAGTAGTGCTTCATACCATGTGATTCCCAATTGCCTGCAGGCCAGATCGAAATCCAGATCGGTACAACATGGTACAACTTACAACGGTACAACGCTGTAAGGAGCACAAGAATAGCCGCGAACAGCGATTGCCAATGCACTTCAAAATAGGAGTCTGAACACAAGGCAGGCATGAGGCATTCAACATACAGCCATCCATGTCATGGACACAACCAAGAGGCAAAGCGGACCAGGTCGTCATCGTCATCCGACATAGCAACAATGTCGCGCTTCGAGAAAAAATGTAGAAAAAGAAAAACACGGAGAGTAGCCTCGACAGGAACGTAACAAGACAATGGTAATGATATACGAGAATCATGCGTATTGATGGAAGCCCACTACATACTAGAAAAACTGACAATCGTGTGTGTTGCATTACAATCATTTGAGCTCTTTGGCTGCAAGTTCTCCAATGATGCACTGGGGCTGTGTGTGTGTGTGCGTGCTTCCAAAATTGCAAAAACTGACTCCCTAACATATACAGCAGGGACTACCCATCGTCCGCGCTTGTCCTGGTGGCATTGCCAATGTATCTATCTATGGTCATCAAGGGCCATGTCAGTTGTGGGTACTCATATCAAGGATTCAGCTCTCCCTGCGCAAGACCCATGCTCCCGGCACACGAGAAGAAGTCAGGTGAAACCTCCAAGTCCTCTTCGAGGAAAATCACCTGAGTTGAGGATTTATTAGAAAGGGTTTGAAACAAGGGACCTGAATGATGAACTCTAATGACAATTCGGCCCTCAGATTCTACAGATTGCGACTTGATGACAAACCTCAAAATAGTACTTGATAAAACTGATGGGTCCAAGCAATTTGGGAACCCTGTGATGGTCGTGAAGCGTATAAACACCTTTAGGTGACCAAGGGCAACAGGGCCAAGTGTCAAAAATTGATCCAAATGCTCATTCATTTCCCCGACTGGGCCTCAAGGCCCATGAAATGGTTAAGGTTTGATTTTCAGGGGTGGAGGCCCATTGCTATAGTAGGTTGGAGACCATCGCTAATTATATAATAGGTTATTTTTACTATTAGGGTTGGATTTTTCAGAGGCTAAGCTTCCATGCCTCCCAGTCCAACGCCTGGGACGAACATGCCCTCAAACCCTCAGTTTATAGGTTCCGAACTTCATCAGCAGCATGCAAGGCGTCTTGTTATGATGTCGTTGGCCTCTTGTTTTGCGCGAACCCCCCGTTCCGCCGTTCCGCCATCCTGCTTAGCTGCTGCTTCGAAGCCAAAGTCATCGAACATCCTGTGCACCGGTCGAACATCAATCCGATGGCCGAAACAAGGTCCGACAGGCACGAAGGCTTTTGGATCCAACCTCCAATAACAACAAAAGAGCTGGACATGCGATGATCACGTTGATCTTTGGCAGAGAGGTCTTGGCCACTGCTGTGTTCTTGAGAAGAGACCCAAAGGAGCGAAGGTTGTATTCTTCAGTGAAAACATGTCAAAACTAAATCAGCTGCAAAGGAGCAGCCAGCAAACACAAACATGTATCATGATTATCATGAGTCAGTTGGCATAGCCCATATAACTTTATCTCATCCTAGCAGTCTTCCCTGACGAAGATAACCCTCCACTGATGCCTTAGTATAGGAATGGTCCCTTCTCCCATGGAAATTGAGGTTAGACTCCACCCGTCAATCACACGAGTCGCATCGCTCCTCCGCATGACATAACCGAAATGCTGCGCAATCAACACATAGCCGAGCGCTTGCTTGCTGCCGCCAAACCTGGGTGAGAGGCGTAGCCTAGCCTCCATACCTCCAAAGCCTTCCCACCCTGAACTCCAAGATGTTCTTTCCTAAACCTGTAAAGCATTCCAAAGCTCTAAGAGCCGTTCCTTAGGAATCAGCAGCATTTTTCTTTTGAGATTCTTTTGTGTTTTAAAGCCCTCCGGAAGACCTCTATTGCGAGAACAGCTGCAAAGCTTCAGTGACATCTCAGGTCTCCCCATAAGAAGTAGACTTCGCTGCCACCGCTTTGGCATTTGGGTCATGCTCGTGGTGGAGGTGGAAAGCCTGCAGGCGTCTGCAGGTGTCATTTGGCACCGTCTACCAGCCTCAACTTCTCGTGCTCAAGCTGCATGTCCCATTACCCCATGTCGGGTAAACTTGTGGGCTATGCTTGTTACTTGTGACTTGTAAGTGCCCGCAATCTGTCAATTCGTGTTTAAAGAACATAGAAGCATGTGACCTGCAAATAAACCGCACACGTCTGCCTCTATCAATAATACAAGACATCTCATGCACATTTGATTCACATATATATATATATAAAGACTCACGTCGGTTTCTTGTCTTCTTTTTGCAGTGCAGACCTAGTTTGTCAATGTAAACAGTCAATCGAGTTAAAAATCCCTAGGTCAAGGGCCCCCATGGCCCGGCTCCCCCCACAATTCCTCGCCGAACCGAGGTAATTGTGAGCCAAAGAGCCTAGGGTAGTCCTGGGCCCCGCCAGTCCGGGGTACGTCCAGGCCACTATCCTGCTCGTCCCTGTCTGTTTTATTTTTATACCGCCGGCGGTTCAAATTCAGTTAAAAGATGGGCTATTTCTTGCCCTTCTTCCTTCGAGACTTCTTCCCCTTTCCACTTTCCCCTGGCCTGCCCTTCCGGGCACGCTCAAGGGGTTGGAGCTCTAAATTCTTGGACCTCGTATACTGGCGCTTGTACGCCTGTGCCTGAGAGTTGGTGTGCAATCGCAATTCTGCTAAAGTGGCAAGTCCCTCATTAATGTACACCCGAGCCGTCTTCGCGGCCTGCCATCTCCCCAGGAGGAGTAAGCGGTCTAGTGAGCCGTATCTTGAAAAATAACAGGTGGCGCCCCCTCGTCTTAGACTGTAAGGGCGGAACTGGTGGTCACTGATTCCGCAGGCTTCCAAGCAAGCGGCAAACTTCTGACGCCACAGGTGCGGAGCTTCACACAGCACTACGGGTGTGCGGGGTATTTTTCCATTGCCACAGTCGCCGAAGGGTGTCTTCCTCCCGGATCGTAATGCTCTCTGCTGCCCCTTGCCGTTTGCCCCCTTTGGTCAGCCCCAGGGACAGGACTGCGACACTGCGTGGTCCCGACTGTTGGCAGTGAGCCTTTTGAACGCCCAACAACTCCCCTGTTGTTAGGAGTCCATGGAAGGCGAGCATGAGCGAGAGAGCAAAAAGATCATCGTTCTGAAAGAGGCTTTGGCCAATCATCAATACAGCCTAGGTCGTCGAGCTAGAGAGACACCGGCCGCGTCAATCATGGAGGGATGGTCCCCAAAGTCCTCTGTCGCCTCTGTCATGATTGAGCGATCTGATTCATCCATCGAGGCGACATTCTCCGTGAGATACCTCACCTGCGCCCAGACGAAGTGCTTCTTCAGGAGCTCTTTGATCCGTCGTACATGGCTGAACAAGCAGCTTCGGTGGTCTCGCAATGCGCCTCTCCTTTCGCTATTGAGCCCACTGACTCCTTGACACGGAGGCCCAGCTCCTAGGATCACAACCGCGGCCTGGGAGAACCTGCATGCCCAATTCCTGACCATCTCATCGTCGACTGCTTCCACGCCGGCCTCGATGAACACGGTGGAGGGGAACTTGCTCTCCAGGGCTCGACTGGCCTCCTTCTTAACCTCCACACTGATATGCCCAAGGACGGGCAACTGGCATGCGTCAGCTGCTACTCGTAGAGCTCCTACGCCATCGAACAAACCTACCGTGAGAACTGCACAGACATCTGCCGGTTCAGGTAGATCTCCTCGGATGGATGCTGAGGCCGCAGCTTGACCGAACCCCGTGAGCCCGGCGCTAACGGTCAATCCTCCCCCAGTGGTTGAAGCGTCACTGGCCGTGACTTCCGGGCTGATGTTGAGCCTGAAGTCCATCTGAGCTAGGGGAATCAGACACACAAACCGCGCCACTTCCAATTTCACCTCACTGGGGATCTCAAGGTGGATGACAGGAGGGTATGTTTTGAAGGACTCGATGAACTTCCACAAGGCGTTGAGCGACCCTAGAAGCGGACGGCGAAACATGCTCATATACACGAGGCCTCCTGCCACCACCTGAGCTTGCTTCCTTGAACACCTCTTCTCCCCCACTAGGAGACTGGCGAGCTGGGCATACTTGAGGATTTTGACTGGCTTCGGATAAGCTCGACCTGCCACTCCATCTACAATGGCTCCCTGAACTTCAGCTTGGCTTGCTCGAATAGTGGACTTCTTTGGATGGCGAGGGACTCCCCACTTCTCGTACTCATGGCGTAAAGCCAGCGCACTTTCGCTCAACTCCCCTTGTAGGAGTGACGTTGTTCGTTTGTCCGCTTTCTCTAGCAAGTCGAAATTGTCCAGGTACACCCGATGCAACTCTCGGTGTACTGTGAACGGTCGGTCCTTCCGAATCTCCTGATGCGATTTCAGTCCCTCCTCAATCTTCTCACTGGCTCGGCGTACCATAACCCGGTGCACATGTTGCGCCAGGCTGACACTGTTCTTGAACCCCATGGGAAGGACCTGGGACGCTAACCGGACAAAGTTCTGGAGGAATAGGTCGGTTGAAGGCCAAGAAGGCGGACCATTCACGAGGTATCTTAAAAATATAAAAGAAACACCTCACATCCTCTGAAGAGATCACCAGATCCTCACTGGGCATCAACTGCAGTGGTGCCATCGTCGCCCAAGTGGGAAGCGTGGCTACGTCTCCTTCAATACCCCTAACCACTTTGTTGCACGGTCGGAGATCCATGATGAGGCGGTGGATCGGAATGCCTTGTTCTTCTTCCCCTTTGGGGACTCCAAAGAGTCCGTTCAGTAGTGGTTGGCCATCTACATGATATATATCCTCCTCTAACATTGATATGACATAGGGATGCACACTCCGTTCCCCAACAGTCCCCGACAAACTTCGGTCCAAGCCTCTGAAGTGATGAGGACCCGTGGCGGCTTCGTTGCTTGTTGAAGCTCCTCAGGCAGGATGTACGATCGAAAGTTCTCTACGTAGTGGCGACACCCCAATTCGCAAACCTCCGCAAGGGGAACCGAAGCGATTTCTTTGGGCATGGCCGGGGCCAGGTTACTCCAGGTGGTGTACTGTGCACACAGGACCTCTTCTCCCGTGTAGTCAACCGTCTTCAACCTGAAGAAATCGTGCCAAGTGGTTTCCTCGAAGCGTTCACCCCATGAGGACACGACTTGCGACTGCGAAAGAAGGAACTCCAAGACCCTTCTCTGTTGAATGGTCGGGGAAAATGGGTTCTCAAGCTCGAGGCCATACATGGAGTTCAATCCTACACAAAGGGCCC